GAAGGCGTCCAACCAGCAGCAGCAACAGCAGCAGCAGCAGCAGCAGCAGGCGCGTACACTGGAGTGCTGCGCCACTGCAGCAAACCAATGGGGCTTGTTGACCGTCGCCGCATGCGGGGCCGCTCAGCTGCTGCTGCTGCAGTTGCTGCTGCTGCTGCAGTGGCTGCTGCTGCAGTTGCTGCTGCAGCAGGCGGCAGCACGGATGACTGAGACCCGCTGGGAGAGGGATACACTGGCGACAGAGCATTTGCTCGAAACCCCAACTGCTGCTGCTGCTGCTGCTGCTGCTGCTGCCTTAATCCATAGAGATCGGGCTGCGTGCTGCTTCTGCGGGGAAGCGGCCGCGTGCGAAAGCGGCACGCTGTTGGCGTTGCTGCTGCTGCTGCTGCTGCTGTTGCTGTTGTTGCTGCTGCTGCTGCTGAAGGTTCTGGCTGACTGAACACGCGCATGCTGAAGGGCAAAGCGTGCTGCTGCTGCTGCTGCTGCGACGCTGCTGCTGCTGCTGTTGCAGACGCAGAAAACGAGCAGCAAGAGCAGCAGCTCCTGCGACGGGCCAAGCGCCGCTCTTGCTGCTCCGCTGCTGCTGCTGCTGCTGGTGTTGCTGCTGCGGGCTGGGACAAAGACACAGTTAACCGCATCGACTGTCTGCTGCTGCTGCACTGCAGCTGCTGCTGCAGCGCAGAACTGCTCCCCGGGAGGCCCCCTGTGGGGCTCCACAGGGGGCCCTCTGGCAGGGGGCCCCCCATGGGGGCCCCCCTAAGAGTGTCTTCTTGCTGCTGCTGCTGCTGCTGCTGTGCTGCATCCCCGACGGCTGGGGGAGTCCCTTTATAATACATGAGGGCCGAGGGGCCGCAGCAAGAAGCCTCAGCAGCAAGCAGCAGCTGCTGCGGCGGGGAGGGACTGAGCAGCCACGGGGCCTCTGCTGCTGCTGCTGCTGCTGCTGCTGCTGCGGGGGGGGCTTCCACGCTGGCTGCAGCCAAGGGCCATGGACTCGCGCGATTATCGGCGCAAGCAGCAGCAGCAGCAGCAGCAGCAGGAGAAGCAGCAGCAGCAGCAGCTGCTGCTGCTGCTGCAT